GGAAGCCATTGATCTGGAGGTCGAGGTAGAGCACGCTGTCCCTCTCCCTGTGGGACGACAGGCGGAAGGCGTTGTTCACGTTCCCGGAGACGATGTCGTAGCGCTGCGTGTTGAAGATCCCGAGGTCCTTGTCGCGCGCGGGGGCCAGGGTGCGCTTGACGTCGCGGGGCGTGTTCTCGGGGAAGTCGATGTTCATGACGCCGGACGGGAAGGTCGGGGCGTTGTCGTTCTCGTCCTTGACGTTGATGTGGACGCGGATGTTCTCCCCCGACTGCGGGATGGCCACCAGGGAGTACGACGACCTGAGCTCGCGGTCCAGCACGACGTTGGTCTTGATCTCTCCCGTGTCCTGTTCGATCCTTAGGTCAGAGTCTACCGCACTCCCGGGCACCGGCACGATCAGGTAGGGCGGCGACGGCGGCGAGGGCTGGCCGGGGTTGCTGTCACCGATGAATCCGATGTTCGTGCCCACGGCCACCATCTCCGACACCTCGAACTCGCGCACGTACTCCGCGGCGGCGGGACAAAGGACGAGGGCAAGTATGAGCGCTAACATGGTCACCCACGGCTGAGTCCTGCCCGGGGCCCGTGCTGTCCTTATAACCCCTTTGGCACTGCACTGGTCACTGGCACTGGGCACTACCCAAGCTACCCTCGCCCCTGCACTCGTGGGCCCGAGCGGCCGCGTGGCCATGTCCCGTGGGCGTCCCCGGCAGCAGGAGCAGCAGGAGGGCGGCACGGGGGCGGCGGGGCTAGGGGGCTCCCCTGCGTCCCCCTCCTCCCCGAGACGACACTGCTCACACATCATGTCGTCGCATCACTGCTCCTCACACGCACCACCACACTCGCACCACACTGTCACCACAACACTTGTCACCACCACACTTTGAACTACACTGGGGCGGCCCTCCAGGGCGGCGCCCGGACCACGACACGCCACTAACAAACACTGGTCGTTGCACCACAGGCGGCTCTGCTGCGGCGCTCCGTGGCTCGAGGCTCTTCTACAACGCCCCGCGCACCCTCTGCAACACGCCCGCGCCGCCCGCACTCCTGCGAAAGACAAATGGAAAGCGGTTAAGCAAGGAAACAAGTAAACCAAAACAAGAAGACGAAAGAAAGCCCTGTCGTAGGGGACGCAGCGCCGCCAGGGTCAAGAGCACGAGGACCCGGCCCCCGGACTCGACCCGGCCGCAGCGTCACACGGCCAGTTGCATAATTGGGCGAAGACGGGAGGAACTGCACGCCGCGGTGATTAGAATAATCATTGCTTTATACAAGTGGGTAATCCGGGAGAAACGCATTCATATGTAAATGACCGCAAAGCCTTGGGGGCTACAATGCGCTTCTTGTAGAGGTGATCTCATTCCCTCCCCCGTGATGGGTGTCCCGACATCACGCTTTTCTGCTCACGCTTAATCATATCGTTTTTCTTCCGGACTCCGAGTAATTGCGCCATATTTCTCATCGGGCGAAGTCTCCTCGCCCCGGCCTCGGCAGGAGCACGCTCTTCCTCGCGCCCTGTCCCCTCGGCGACCCAGAAGGCCACGCGGCATCCTTGAAAACAAACCATAACAACAAACGCAAAAAAAGAAAGAAAAAAGAGAGAGATACAATTAAAAGCGATCAGTCCCTTGCACATCCTTCCATCTCCATCCATTCCGACGCCGAGGAGGTTCACATCACAACAGAAATTTCCCAGAAGAGAGAAAAAAGCAGAAGCGAAAATGCGTTTTGAAATTTATGAATGGCAACTTGGAAGTGGTCGCTAAGTACAGCATATGAATTCATAAAAGAATGTGTTGGAGGCGCCGCAGCTTACTCCTGTTGTTTACCAGGTGGTCGGTGACAAGTGAGAAACTTAATTGGTCTCTGTTGTTACAGGTGTCATGTTGTTAGTTAATTATGAGAAAAATTGTGGTATTGTCATGAGTGTGTACTTCAGCCAAGAGGACGAGTTGAAGGGCCAATCAGAAAGAAGCCCGCGAAAAAGAACGAATGCGATTGGACAGTTCATATTCATATGCTTGTAGCCGCTGTCATGTTAACCCCGAGATAATTTCACCGGGAGAAATATCACGGGCAGACGGGGTAATCGGCGGGAAAATTCGATTATCATATTTTAGTTTTCATATTTGTAGTCCGCATTTGCATTTTCACTGTATTCTCGCTCTTTCGGTGTCCAGCGTTTAATTACATAATCAATCGTAATTGGCGCAATAGCAGTGTAATTATTTCAGGACGCTACACTGGGGGGGAGGGGGGATGTTCGAGGCTCATAAATATACGACCTATCACAGAAGCAGAAAGTTGCAAGGGCTTGGTGGAGTTTTAGCTTTTCTTTCAAATAATATGAAAGGAAAATATGTATTGAGCATTTTATTATCATGTATAATGACAAAGATTCTTCGGCATCTCGGGTTTGATTCTCTCTCTCTCTCTCTCTTCTCTCTCTCTCTCTCTCTCCTCTCTCTCTCTCTCTCTCTCTCTCTCTCTCTGTCTCTCTCTCTCTCTCTCTCTCTCTCTCTCTCTCTCTCTCTCTCTCTCTCTCTCTCTCTCTCTCTCTCTCTCTCTCTCTCTCTCTCTTCCCTTATATACAGTTGTAATTATCTACCGAACGCTAAAATGCTTGCGAGGTCAAGCAAACAAATAAACAAAGTGTGTATGTGTGTCGTGTGTACGTGTATGTGCCTGTCTGTACGTGCGTACCTGTGCGTCCATATGTGAGTGCAAGATCCCCCCGCCCCCCCCCTCCCTCCCCCACCTCCCCTCCCCCCCCCCACCCACCCCTTCCTGCTCTGTCACCCCCACCCCCACCCCACCCTTCCTGCTCTGTCACCCCCCCCCCCACCCTCATTCATATTCCGTCCCGGCCCGGTCCGCCCGCCCCCGTCCTCTCTCCACCTGCAGGAGGAAGGCGAAACGGAGTGGCCCTCGGGGAACGCGTGAATCCCTCCCGAACCTGAAGACGCTCCCGACGTCGAAAGGCCTCTCTCCTCGACCTCTTCGCGGACTCTGAGGGTGCTCTTGGTCATGAGTGGATGACGTCATTCGTTTAGGCTTATTGGCCGCTCGGGGGATGCTCGCGGGAGAGGCAGTGATTGAGATTCAAAGATTTTCATTATTGTTATTATTGTTATTATTATTGCTATTATTACTACTACTATTATTACTTACTGCATTATTATGATATTATTATCATTATATTACTGTTATTAATATCATTATCATATTATCATTATTAGTATTAATTACTATTACTGTCATTATCATCATTATCATTATTATTAATTATTACTAAAATTATTATTATCATTATTAGTATTACTACTACTATTACTGTTATTATAACTATCATTAGTAGTAGTTTTCTTCAAGTTCTATGTCTTAAGAATGCGATCCATTAATCTAATTAAAGGACGAGAATCCTAGGAGCGTCTTCAACGACATCACAGCTCATCAACAAGACTCTTTCAATCACACTTCACTCGGATTAAGGGGTAGAATCAGCACGCCTAATCCGCGATCCAATCCTTCCCTAATCTTCGTCTGGATCTGGAAGACCCAACAACCCGGTCGGTGCCTCACGAAGCCTCATAAACCCTCGTGGAACCCACTCATCGCGCCACACCTTCTCATTCCCCAGCCAGGTTGTTCTTCTGGACCTCCCCCTCCCCCCCCCCCCCTCCCCTCCCCTCTCTCCCCCCTCCAAAGCCCCCTCTTCCCTCAAGCCCCCTCTTCCCCTTCAAAGCCCCCCCCCCCCCTCTTCCCCCCCCCTCCAAAGCCCCCACTGCCACCCCCTCCCCCGCCCATTAAAGGGTTCACTCATCTCCACAAATGTAAACATCTAAGTCACTCATTAACTTGGTCGACAACCTGATTTTAATTTGAAGACAATACTCGTCCTCTTCCTCTTACTTACGCTCTCTCTTTCTGTCTGTCTCTGTCTCCTCTCTCTCTCTCTCTCTCTCTCTCTCTCTCTCTCTCTCTCTCTCTCTTCTCTCTCTCTCTCTTCTCTCTCTCTCTCTCTCTCTCTCTCTCTCTCAAGTAGTTTCAGACTGTCCTTCGTATATTCCACTTTGTCCTCCCTCTTGTCCTCCTCTTTCTTTTTTTACTCATCTTCCTCCTCCTCCTCCTCCCTTTCCTTCACCTCCAAAACCACCACCACCATCACCACCTCCTCTTTCTCCTCCTTCTTCTTCCTCTCCTCCTTCTCTTTTCTTACTCATTATCTTCCTCCGTCTCCTCCCTTTCCTTCTCCACCAACCACCACCACCTCCTCATGACCCAACCCAGTTAAAGGTGGACCTCAGAACACCTATAAGATCTATAATGCAATGACGCCCCCTCTAAGGCCTGTTCACTGAGCAGGGTCTGAGTGCCACATTGCCAACATGTGGCACAGGATGAGAGTGGCACTTTGGGGGTCAACGGATAGAGCTCGGAATATAGGCCTCCAAGGAATGCTTGACCTATGACCTGTGGCTTGGATGTGCTATGACCTATGTTATTATTGGTGGGGCACAAAGAAGCCTTTTTTTCAAGTACTTTATTGAGACAAGGGATACAGTACTGAGGGTAGATGAAGGGAAGAGGACAGAGCGAAAAGCGTAAAAATGTTGAAAATAAACTATGTTTCCATGTGCAGAAGGGTCTGCGTGACTCATATCTACATATATGTGATCAAGTTCTCCTGTATGATTTACACGGAGGCACACCCGCACACACATAACACGCACGCACGCACACACACACACACACACACACACTTACACACACACACACACACGCGAGTCCAGTCACCGTAACGGTGCGCGCGCCGGGCCTCCTCTGCCTGGCGACCTGAAGAGCGTCAGATAATAATAACGGGTCGAGAGAGTTCTTGAAATAATATTCTTAGAGCGAGAGAGGAGAGAGCGAGAGAGAGCGAGAGAGAGAGAGAGAGAGAGAGAGAGAGAGAGAGAGAGAGAGAGAGAGAGAGAGAGAGAGAGAGAGAGAGAGAGAGAGAGAAGAGAGAGAGCGAGACAGAGAGATAGAGCGAGAGAAGAGAGAGAGACAGAGAGATAGAGCGAGACAAGAGAGAGAGACAGAGAGAGAGCGAGAGAGAGCGAGACACGAGAGCGAGACGAGACAGAGGAGAGAGCGAGAGCGAGAACACAGAGAGAGCGAGCCGAGAGAAGCGAGACAGAGAGAAGAGAGAGCGAGAGAGAGAGAGAGATTTCTCCGGCAGAGGGAAAGGAGGGAGAGAGGGGATGCTGCTCTCGGTTGTTTATGCTTGAGTTCATCCCGCTGGGCTCGTCCGCTCGCTGGATTCCTTTCTTTCTCTTCGTCTCCTTAATTTCTTCATTTCTTCTTCGTCTTCTTCTTCTGCAGCGTCTTTTTTTTCTATATCTCCTCCTCCTCCTCCTCCTTCCTTCTTCTTTTTTCTTCTTCCTCTTCTTCTCCTCCTTCTCCTTTTTCTTCCCTTTCCCCCTATTCCTCCTCCTCCATCTCCTTGTTCTTCTCCCCTTCTTCTTCCCTTCCTCCTCTACCCACCTTTTCCTCCCCCCTCCTCCTCCTTCTTCTCTCCCCCATCACCACCTCCTCCTCCTCATTTTTCCCCTCTCCACTCCTCCTCTCTTCCACCTCCTCCTCCTCATTCTTTCCCCTCCCCCTCCTCCACCTCATTCTCCCCCCTCCTCCTCCCTCTTCCCTCCACCTCCTCCTCATTCCTCCCCTCCTCCTCCTCCACCTCCTCCCTTCTCCCTTCTCCTCCTCCCTCCTCATTCTTCTCTCCCTCTCCTCCCTCTTTCCCTCCCCTCCTCCTCTTCCCCCTCCTCCTCCTTTTCCCCCTCTTCCTTCCACCACCTCCTCTCTCCCCCCCCTCCTCCTCCTCATTCTCCTCCCCCTCCACCTCCTCCTTCTCTCCCCCTCCACCCCTCCTCCTCCTTCCTTCTCCTCCTCCTCCTCCTTCTTCCACCTCCTCCTCCTCCTCTTGCTTGCTTGACCGGGCCTTCAGCTGGCTAATCTTTACGGGGATATTAATAGCTATTGTTATTGTAACGCCGAGAGGAGGA